CAATGCCCCTCACTAGCTGAGGGTGTCCCGGCTTCTGGTCATTCTGACAAATCCTCCTTTCTCAGAGTAAAGGGGGAAATGCCTTGTTGGTCTTGCAGAATCTCAAATCACTTGCAACTTTTATGAGAGTACAAATCGGTATAGCATTTGTGGAATAAACTTTCAGATGAATTTATGAAATGTTCAACTCTCCACAGTCTTTCCACTCTTACCCAACGTCTATGTCACTCTGTATATATTATTAGAAAACAATGTTTTCTAATTTTACCCAAGAACTCATTCTCAAAGATGTTGTTTTCATTTCTTCAATCACCTGACACGGGGAAAGCCACTTACAGGTCCACCAGGACAATATTGTTTATGGTATTAATTGTGGTATATGCATCCTTTAACATTCCAGGGAGTAATTTCAAAATGAGATGAATCTGTATGTGCTGTCAGGGGAAGATCCTGCGTCCATTTTATTAAGTAGCAAAAGCTAGTGGCCTGTCAATATGTACATTCTTACCTATTCTGTTGAAGAGAAACAATATATTCTGACAGCATACTATTGAAAACGATAGTCACCTGGAAATAACACACACTAGATGGTTAGTCGTGGGGAATTCTGAGGAGGAGGCTGAATTGTGGAAGAACTTTGAAAAGGGGACATTGTGACTTATCTGTGTTTTTAGACTTCTCTTTGCAATAGGAAGATACGCACTACTACCTTTGTCACTGAAATTTCTATGTAAGCCTAACGACAGAAAAGCAGCCATGTCAAAGTAACTGCTAACTGATGCAACAGACAAACCCCTACATTTGAAGAGCTAACATGACAAAAGTGCATTCTGGGGCACATAAATTCTGATACCATTTGGCAGGGCCCTCCGCATTTCCTAGACCCTGGAGAGCCTGGTTGCTTTCATCTTGTGGCTTCCCTGTCTCAGTGTGGGGTGGTCGTGGCGAACCAAGGGAGACAGCACGAAGGTGACATACTGACGCACTGGCTCTCAGATGCCTGGATGTGATGAAGGATGCTTTTGCTCATGTCTCCATGGCAAAGGGTCATCACACGACCCTTCCTAACCACAAGTCGACGGGAAATGGAGGGTCCCCTGTGTCCAGGAAGTAAAGCAAAGACAAGGTATGGATGAGCATTGAAATTTCTCCCACGTACTGCTACACAGTAGGTGCTCGACCAAAGACAACTACCATAATTTGTTATGACAACCGACTCTATTAACTAGAGGTATCTCCGAGGTCAGATTTGCTTGGTTTTCTTTGCATTTTTAAGTGCCTACCTCATGGCAGATGCTTTCAAATACAGGACCACATCTAACGCGAAGAGGATCCTGTACATATTGTCAGGGAGTGTTCACCTTCCTCACGCAATAGTACTTTTCTACATTGCCTGCACTCCCCGCATTGCCATCTGTAATCACAGTAGGCTGAAATGTTCCTCCTTCCTTTTGAAACATGGGTAAAATCTGAACCTGTGTGTCTCAGTTACCCTCCATGTGACTAAACTTGCCTGAACACCTGACCTGCACAGGTGCCATTAGGCTCACTGAACGCCAGGGCTTTTTCTGTGGGGCACGTACTAGAGAAGTGGCAGTGGGAGGATGGTTATTTTTTTCGGGTTTGATTTGGCCTCACGTGTCCACCGAGTAATCATGTTTCACCACCCAGGAGGATTGTTAGGAAGTTGACTTCAGTGGATGTTTGGTCCTCATCGACCACTTCTGATGAAGCATTACTATCTGACCACATAAATGAGCGCTTTCATCTGAATACATGTTCAGTTCCCAGCCTCAAATAAGAAAAACCTACAAGTCCTTCTGCAAACACCAGGGTGGCTTCAAAACTCCTCTGCGTAACATCAGGGTTGATCCCTAAGTCCCTGGAAGGTTATAGGTGCAATGAGACATTCCTCACAGCCCATTTGGAAAACAGAGAGTGGATCTAAGACCACCTGGGGAGGATGAACAAGTGTGCTAAGGTCACAGTCCAAGTCCCATTTTCCATCAAAACAGCTTTAGCTGTCAGAGCGGTTGGAGAGTAAACTCCAGGAGAGCCACGGAACCTGGGCAGGGAGTAGGCCTGCTCCATGTCATGGGAGGGCATGAAGCCCTTGTGCAGCCAGTAGAGGAGGCGGCAGAGATGAGCCGGCCAGCATACTATGTTCCAGAGTTGGACAGGAGGGTACATGTGGGAAGAGGGGCTGTCATGTGGGAAAGTGTGGGGACTGGACAGAAATGGCAGCACCTCGCAGAGTCTGCTCTGAACAGGAATCAGTCCCCAAATTGTGCTTCCTTCTTCTTGTCACCTTTCTTCCTGAGGCCTGCTTTAGCTACCTGGACCTCAGAGTCCTCCTCTTTGTCATCTGGGAAATAACATGGCAGCGAGAAGACAAATGAAGTAGGAGTCAGAAGGTGGCCACAGGCTGGGGTGTGTGAGAACAGCGGGGACTCTACATGAATTCAGACCCGGGGTCTAGTGGGTCTGGTTTCTGCTCTGTCACTTGGTAGCCGTGTGATCCTGGGAAAAGGACCAAGCCCTGTGGGCCTCAGGTTCTTCATCTGTTAAGTAAGTGGGTTGGATAAGCCCCGTCTTGCAGGACTGGAGGAATGTATGTGATGTATGTAAAGAACTTTGCACTGTGTGCTGGGCATATATCAGAACGTTGATGAATGGCAGGTGTTTCTAATGTCGGTTTGATCCCAGAGCCTTCTACTCTCTCCTATGGGATATTCTCTGTTTTCTAGCTCACACTAGAGAATATGCAGCTCAACAGGACACAGAACAGCTAATAAGCCAAAGAGGATGCTTCATAAATACAACTCGATCCATTTTCTTTTTTTTTTTTTTTTAATGAACAAAAACGTTTTCTTTATTTTTGAGAGAAGCGACAGAGCACGAGCAGGGGAGGGTCAGAGAGGAAGGAGATGCAGAAAGTAAAGCAGGCTCCAGGCTCCAGGTTCCTAGCTACATCACAGAGATCATGACTTGAGTGGAAGTCAGACGCTTATCCGACTGAGCTGCCCAGGGTCCCCAAGGTCCATTTCATTTTCTTTTCTTTTTTTTTTTTTTTTTTTTAATGTTTTTATTTATTTCTAGGAGAGAGAGAGAGACAGCGTGAGCAGGGGAGGGTCAGAGAGAGAGGGAGTCACAGACTGAAACAGGCTCCAGGCTCTGAGCTGGCAGTCAGCACAGAGCCCGACGCGGGGCTCGAACCCACGAACCGCGAGATCGTGACCTAAGCGAAAGTCGGACGCTTAACCGACTAAGCCACCCAGGCGCCCCGGTCCATTTCATTTTCGAAGGCAGAGGACATATGTGGGATATATGAGAATATGTGTGGAATGTGTCTGTGGGGGAGTTGTCCCAGCTGGATATTACACGAAGCTGCTAGAAGTTGAATCAAAGACCAACTTCTTCCCTTCCCGTGCACATGCTCTTCCATCCAAACCACTACTTTCATTCATTTCTCCCGGACCAAAACCCAGACCTGGCTTACAGCTGTCCAATGACACTCAAAATAATCAAATTAAAATGTCTTTTGAATGCACTGGGCTATGGTTTGCCATGGCCAGCAACAACAGTGTCAGTCTAGACCTTCTGGGCTCCACTTTAAAGGAATATACCATTATAGGGGCGCCTGTGTGGCTCAGTCGGTTCAGCGTCCAACTTCGGCTCAGGTCATGATCTTGCAGCTCTTGAGTTCCAGCCCCGTGTTGGGCTCTGTGGTGACGGCTCAGAGTCTGGAGCCTGCTTTGGATTCTGTGTCTCCCTCTCTCTGCCCCTTCTCTGCTCTTCAGCTATCAAAGAATAAAGACACATTAAAAATAACTTTTTAAAAGAATACCATCCTATTTCTCCAGAAATCCTTGCAGATGATGGGTAGAAAACATCTACTCTGTGCACTGTGTTCAACTCCACAGGGACAAGCGTGCTTGTCCCTTTCGCTTCCTGACACAGGAGGAGATTTCTCTTTGGTTTGCTCATGATCCAAAAGGAATTTCTCGGAGCCATTTTCTGTTTCAGATTTTGCTCGCACCCCTAAGGCACACCATCTGTGGGCCTAGACACTGTCAACATCCAGCTTCGTTGTCATCAGCTGCCCAGGAGGCATCCCTCTGACCAGAGACCCCAGGCCAGCCTGCCTCAGGAGGGGCATCCCCACTGCAGGGCCCGCCCCTGGAGCCCCGCTGCCTCAGCCTTCTTTCACTTGTTCGGCTAGCCTTGGGGACCCCTCCCCACCTTCCCGCTGGAAGGCTGCTGCTAGACAGTCACGTATGGGTGGGGCGTGCCCTGCCTCTCCTAGTGTCCGCACTGCTAATACAGGGCCCTTCCGAGAGCGAGCAGAGCTCAGAGAATATCTGGCAACAAATGGACCAGTAAGCTGGGGTCCTCTGTGCCCAGATCCACTGGCTGCTCCTTTCGTGGTGAGCCGAGCCAATGCAGGCACACATATCTATGCCACTTGTACAGAATGGCAGACAGCAAGGGATAAGAAGCAAAACATCTTTTATTTCTCATTTTCCTGACCCTGGCACATTGTTGCCAAGGTCTTCCACATTAGTAGATATCCCTGTGCCCATGCAGGCACCGAGATTCCCTTCCGGATTCCAGATGAGGATGGAGGGGTTCCCAGTTCCTTGCACCAAATGGCAAAACACTGACTCTTGAACCTGACAAGTACAAAGAACTGTGGTTTGGGTGCCACTCACACACTGAGCCACCAAAGCTCCTGAAAACCTTCTAACACAAGGAACAACATGGGAAAGCTTCCTCAAGGAAACAAACACGGATGTCCGAGGTAGCATAGACAGAGAACAAACAGGGAGCCACCCAAACGTGCTGTGGGCCCCACTTTCCCCAAGCAGCCCTGGCCCTCCCCTACTCACAGCACTCTGTGCCCTCCCTGCTCCCAGGCACAGGGAAGAAGGGGCCTGGCTTCCTGCCCCTCAGGGAGGCTGCTGGACCCTGGGCGGAAAGGGCCTGGCTGCCCCTCTGGCTCAAGCCCGCACTTCCTCATTGCTGGCAGCCTCGTGACACGGGGACAGGGAGGCCCTGAGCAGCCTGCGACTGACCATGAGGATGTGCTGCAGCACGTGCACGCTGCTGGTCTCCGCGTGGGCCCTGGGACCCCACAGGAACTCGTAGCGTGCGGGCTCGCTGCCGGGCACCTGCCGGTACGCCGGGTACCCTTCCCGCACCCAGACCTCGGTGAGCAGCTCCCTGGGCTCCCCATAGAATAAGTGCTCCCTGCCGATATACACCCCCAGGACCCCCAGCGCTTTCCACACCTCCTTCTCAGGGGCACATTCGCCCTCCAGGAGGATCACTCCCAGGACCACCACCAGGAGGCTGGTCGTGGGCATGGCCTGCTTACCACTTAGCATCCCACCACAGGTCAGGCCGAGGATGGTGACCAGAACGTAGGAGTGCTCGCTGGGGTCCACTTCCTTCACGTCAACGCCAAAGACCAGCTGCAGGCAGGCACAGGCTTGGTGGAAGATCATGGTGAACTGGTTCTGGTCAGTTTGGCTGACCGCTGTCAGCATCTCCGCCTGTGTGGTCGGCTGCTTGGTGCAATACTTGACAAGCATGAACGCCACCAGGTCAACCACCTTCACACCAAGTGTGTCTTCGACTGAGGGCTGGGCCACTGCCGGGTTCCCCCAGGTGCTCAACCCCTCCTCATCCGGATTGCTGGGCTCCTCATCAGACCAGCTCTCTGGAGCACCTGCCATGCCAGCGGGGGAGACGCAGGAGCTCTGCGGGCTCTGGGGAGAGCTCTGCAGAGGACTCAGGGACACCAGCTGACTCCTCCTCCAGAGGGATCAGCAACAGGAGAGAGCAGGAGGAAGAGAGGGAAGAAGAGGGGGAGGAGGTGGAATGAGATGGGGTTTCCTCCCCATCCTCAGCCCCAGAAGGCTGTGCAATCATTGGGCCCTCAACCTCTCTTGGGTCTTCTTCCAACGTCAAGTGCTCACTCCTGTCCTGCAGGGCATGATGTTTGTGAGAGCCCGAGTAAAGAGTAGGGGGCTCCTCAGGGGGCAGCCCAGCCCACAGAGCTGAGGTTCCAGGCCTGAGAGCAGGGCCATGTTGGGGTTGGGGTTGGGGGCTGAGGGGTCCACCCTGGGATGGGATGCGTGAGCCTCTGGCACCACACACAGAACATGCACCTCACTTTGACAACTGGCTGGCACCAGTCTGCACCTCCGCTGCTCTGTGACCACAGGACTCCTGCCTCAGACCAAGGCCTCAACTCCAGAGCTGGTAGCCCCTGGAAGAGGGTGGGAGGGGGTACCTCATGGAAGGTGCAGGATCTAAGCACCACCCTGGGCCCACATCCCACACCCCCCAGGGCTGCCAGGAGATTCTGGGCCGCGCTTTGCAGTGCCCCACAAATCCGGCCTGGGCCTTCCCATACTTGTCTTCTCTGATGACAGTTATGGCCCCTGGCAGGCCTGGGCCCCGCCCCTCTGCCAGCCTGAGGCAAAAGTCTCAGGACCAGACCACACAGCCCTGAGAGTGGAACACAAGGAAGCCCTGGGGCCACATTTGGACACACCTGCCAAAGGTCCACAGTGGTTGTCCCCCATCGGGAAGGATGGCCACATCCTGGCTTCCACCTGTGCTGGGATGGGTGCCCCTCTTCAGTCTTTGCCTGGACACCCTGAGGGGCCTGGAAGAACTCCCTGTGTGGCCCTCAGGCCACCCTCCTTAAGTCAAGTCCTCTTCTCTAAAAGACCCTAGAAGAAAATTTCAAGAGAGGGGCGCCTGGGTGGCCAGTCGGTTAAGCGTCCAACTTCAGCTCAGGTCATGATCTTATGGTTCGTGGGATCGAGGCCTGTGTCAGGCTTTCTGCTGACAGCTCAGAGCCCGAAGCCTATATTCATATTCTGTATCTCCCTCTCTCTCTGACTCTCCCCTGCTCATGCTGTCTCTCTCTCCTAGAAATAAATAAAATTTTTTTAATGTTTTATTTATTTCTAGGAGAGAGAGAGAGAGATACACAGCATGAGCAGGGTCAGAGAGAGAGGGAGTCACAGACTGAAACAGGCTCCAGTCTCTGAGCTGGCAGTCAGCACAGAGCCCGACGCGGGGCTCTAACCCATGAACCGTGAGATCATGACCTAAGCGAAAGTCGGATGCTTAACCAACTAAGCTACCCAGGCGCCCCATAAACAAAACATTTTTTAAAAATTAGAAAACATCAGGAGAAAGCAGTCCACCCACCCAGCCTGGGTCCCCCGAGGCTCACAGGAGCGGCGGGGCAGGCCTGGTCCCTAGGTAGGTTTCCTGCACTGGGGGGCCTCTCCTGCTTTCTCACCTCCACCCCGACCAGAGCCCGGCATCCTGCCTCAGCTGACCTGGGTCCAGGCCCTCACACCCAGGCCTCCCCTCGCTGAGACCAGGGGACTGGAAATGCGGAGGGGCTCAGCCCGACAGGCCCTGCCCCGGGGTCCCAGGGCCCCCCGTGGGGGCGGCTCTCAGAGGGCTGCCCCTGTGCTGGAGTCCAAGCAAGGTGCCTCCCGCAGTGCTCCCGCAGGGATCTCCGGAGGAGCCGCAGCACCTCTGCAGGCCTCTGTCCGCCGTCCCCAGG